ATTTCCCGGCCCGTTCCCACCGAGGAGGGTGCCCCAAAAAAAAAAAGAAAACCCCCCAAAAAGAAATATTTTCATCACTTTCAACACTTTCACCCACCACACTTAACCCTGTTTTTGCAGAGGTGCCAGAATCCGTTTAAAAAGATACACATAAAAAGATAACAAATACCCCCCAAATTGCCAATATCCAAAAACCCCCCCTTTAAATGCGGGCATTGAATTCCCTTTTCCAAAGGAAATCAAGTCCGACTATATGAAAATCCCGGTTTCCTAAAATCCCTTCCCAAAAATTTCCCCTGCTCACACTCCAACAGTCGTCAGGTCCAAGTACCATTCATCTCCATTCACTCCTATCTAACCGCTCACCCCGTTGTTAAAGCCCCAAGCCCCTTGCCCAAAAACCCCCCTTTACCCCTCTCCCAAACCCCTTTCGAGGACGCCCCCCTTTACCCCCCTTCCTTCCCCTTTAGATTTATATGCTTTCCAGGGTATTCTACTTTGACCATTCTCTCTAAATGACCAAACCCCCCTTCAAAAACCCCTTTTCTTCTCCCTTGCAAATTTACTTTTTTTAAAACTCCACACCTTTTCCTATTTTCCACACCCCAAAAATTTTCTGCATAAAATTTTACACCAAACATTCCCCCTTTAAAAGGAATTCCACTGCCTCAACCGTCTCCTCGCTGTGCATTTACCACCCAAGTTCACCCCCATATAAGAGTGTTGGTACTACTATACTTTTCAACATTCCCTTTTTGCCCCGTAGATAACGTTTTTTTTATCCAATATCCTCAACCACACTCACCTTTTTTCCTCATCATTCTATGTTAACCTCATCCTTATTTAAAACCTCCCCACACACACACACACAACACACAACACACACACACACACAAGAAAGCCGAGAGGTTTTTGTAGGAGTCAACACAAAATTTAAAGAGGTTTTACAGTGGAAACCATAGGACTAAAAAAAATCAAAAAGGGGGGCACCCAGCAAGGCGGATGAGGTAAAATAACCAAAAGGAGGAGGTGAAGAACTGTATGCAAATTGACACCTCAAAGGCGGTGGGCCAGACAACATCTCCCATGGGTCCCTTTAAAAAGGGGCAGGATATTTTGTGAGCCATTTAAAAAGATCTTCAACACATATTTTAAAAATGGGCAACTCCCTAGGTATGGGGAAAAAGGCAAAAAGTAAAAAAAAAAAAACCCCCCCCATCCCAAATTTTTACAAAAAAAGGGGGGAAATATTCAGGAGGGAAATTGGTGGGGAACTGGGGGGAAAAAAACAAGTGTATAATTGACAAACCGCCGGTTTAGGGAAGGAAAATCCTGTTAAAACCTCTAGAGTTTTATGACAAGGTGACAGAAAGTAAGCAAGAGAGAAGGGGTGGATCGACTGCGTATTTTTGGACGCAAGAAGGCTTTCGCACGTTCCTCAAAAAAGAGGTTACTGCAAAAGTAGAGGACAGGGACACATAAAGGGAAAGGGACTGCAAGGATAGGAATATTGAGGAGGAAAAAAACGAGTCATGGGCGGACGAGGTGTCAGGGGGGCGCCTGTGAAAAAGGGGGTTTTTCCCGGGGTCAGCCTAGGACCCGTGCTGTTCTTGGTTAAAGTGAACGAATAACGGAAGGGATAGACTCAGAAAGTGTCCTTGTTTGCAACGATGTGAAGTTTAAAAAGAAGAATCGAATCGGACGGGGGAAAATCAGGGGGCTACAAAGGGGGATTGGACAGGTTTTACAACCCGGGTTTCCCAGCAACTGGCCCCCTTAAATTTTAAACCCCTTTGCCCCAAATAAAAGTCATGAAGATTGGGGAAGGGCAAAAAAGACCCAGACAAAAATTATGGGTTTAGAGGGCCCCCAAAAGACTGAAAAAACCTCACTAAAGGGAAAAAAGACCCGGGGGGTGGTATAACACCGGGGCATTTTCTCCGAGGCGCACATAAAATCAGATAACCTGCTGCAGAAACGGGCCCCTTGGCAAACCTACGGTTTTTGGGCTTTTCCCGATACCCCCAAGTAAGGATTTTTTTTTAAGACTCTGTACACCTTTAAAACGCCCAAGGCCCATAGGGGTATGCGCCCCAATTTTTGGAATCCACCCCTAGTAAAAGCACTTTCAAGAAATGGGGGGGAAAGGGGAAAAGGGTTTTTGCAACAAGACTAGCCCCAGAGCTACGGGGGTTGCCTATAAAAGGAAAGGTTGAGGGAAAATCGGCCCTGAGACATGGGGGCCCAGGGGGTTTCGGGGGAGACATAAATAACGACATATAAAAATACTCCCCGGGGAAATTTAGCCCGAGGGGGGAAAAAAGGGATGCGATTTTTTCCAGAAAATGGGACACGGGACACAAGAGGTCAAAATTTTAAAAGTTGAAGATCGTTTGAATAAAAAGGGATGTTTGGGAAAAGTATTTTTTCATCATAGGATTTCCAGGCCAGGGAAAATACCCTAGAAAAGGGGATGGGGGTTGGGGGGGCCGGGAAACCCAAATACATATTTTTTAAGGGGCGAGGTATGATAGAGCTCAGGGGGCCCAGGGAGAGGGGAGGCCCTTTAGTACCAATCACGAAGGGGCCCGGGGCCCAGGAGCTGGGGACTCGCCCCCTCCCAACCACAAAAAGGTGATACACACACACCCACACAAAAACACACATAACACCCCACACAAAACACACACACAAAACACACAAAACACCCCAACCCCACCCCACACAAAACCCCACACACTTTCATTGTTGTTAGGGGTACACATAGTGCCTCTGCCCCCTCTCCAATACCCATGGGGGGAGGGTTTCGGCCCCCCAATTTGCCTTTGATGGACCCCTGGGATCCCTAAAAAGGCAATGGGGCCAGACAACATCCCCCCAATTTTTTGAGAGAGGGAGCAGAGGCGCTATGTGTCCCCCCAAACAACAAAAAATTAAAATACATCTATAAAAACAGGGAGATTCCCTGGGGGAAAGGAAAAACACCCAAATGTAGCCCAAAAATTTTTAAAAAAAGGAGACAGACTTGAAGTATTAAACTACAGACCAGTGTCACTGACATGTTTTAGTAGGAAAAAATCAGGGGAGAAGATTATTAAAGGAGAAGATGGTGGAACACCTAAAAAAGGGAAATTTGATCTCATCAACAGAAACCCAAACCCAGGTTTTTCAGGGAGGGGAAAAAATCCGGTGCCCCACAAAACCAAACTGGAGTTCTATGAAAATGGTGACGCATAAGACAAGAGAGAGAGGGGTGGGTGGATTGGGATATTTTGGGGCTGCAAGAAGGCGTTTTTACAAAGTTTTCCCCCCAAGAAAAATTGGTGCAAAAAAATTGGGGGGAAACCCAAAAGGGGGTTTTCCCCCAAAGGCCCCTAAAAAATGGGGTTTAGGGAAAAACTTGGGCAGGAAAACAGCCCGCGAGGGCCAAAGGGACGGGGCGAGGTTTTTAGGTGGGCACCTGTTTACCACCGGGGGGCCCCCCCAGGGTCCCTCCTTTGGAAAACCTGGGGGTGTTTCTGGTTTTTTGGCCCCACCCTGACGGGAAAGGAAAAGACTCTGAGGGGGTCCCCCGTTTGCAGATGACGGGGGAAGTTGTGAGAAAAAAATTCAAAGCCCATCGAAGACCAGGCCAAGAAAATTCAAAGGGATCTTTGGGCAGGCTGCAGAACCCGGTCTAGCAAAAAATTGGGTCCCTTTTTTCAATCCCCCCAAGTGCAAAGCCATGAAGATTGGGGAAGGGGGAAAAAAAGACCGCAAAATGAAGTCAGTCTAGGGGGCCAGAAACCCCCCAAACCTCACTCAAGGAAAAAAATTTGGGGTGAGGTTAAAAAACAAACCCCGGCAAAAATTTTCCTGAAAACGCAAAATCAAAAACCCAAAAAAACTGCTGCGCATTTTGGGGGTCCCCAGCAAAACCCCAGAAAAGCATTCCAACCCCTTTTTAAAAAAGAATCGTTTAAAGGAACCCCTTTCACCGTGTACGTTAGGGGCCCCTTTGGAAATATGCCGGCACCAGGTTTTTGGGAAACCCCCACCTAGCCCAAAACACTAAAGAAAATAAAAAAAGTGTAAAGGTTTGCAACAAAGACCCCAGTCCCCCCCGAGCTAAAAAGGGATGGGCCTTTCGAGGAGAGGTTTTAAAGGGAAAACAACCTGGGGCGACAATGGAGGGGAAAGGAAAAGGAGAAAATTTGGGGGGACATGAAACAACATACAAAAATTTTCTGAGAGGGGAAATTGGAAAAGGTGGACCCAAAAACGGATGTTCCAGAGATGGGGGAAACAGCCAAAAATGGGGGCCACAGTTTTTGGAAAATTTTAAGACCCCAGTGAATCACAGGGAGGGTTTGGGGAAAATTTCCCTTTAGCCCCCAGAAATAGTTCCCGTAAGTTGGGGAAAAGTTTGGGGGGGCGGAAAGTGGTTTGGAAAGGGAGGAAACCCCTTTCAAGCTTTAAAAACGAAAGGGATGATAAAGCCCCCGCGGTTTTTAGGGGGGAGTGACCTAGTAAACGATTCCCGTGGGAAAGGCGGGGGAGGAATCGGACTCGACCCCCGCAACCTCAACTAGGTGAGTACAACTAGGTGAGTACACACACACACACACACACACACACACACACACACACACACACACACACACACACACACACACACACACACACACACACACACACACACACAAAACATGAAACTTGAAATTTTGGAAATTTTCCAGACATAATGGAGAGACATAGTACTCACGGAGAATGTAAACAAATTGGGTGGGGCACAGTGACCGTATTAGAAAGTCAGGTGGGGGAGCCGTATAGCTAGTTTTGGTCACAACCTGAAATGTCCGTATTAGCAGAATGCCATAAGGCGGGGTCCTACTGTATATATATGCTTGCACATGCATGTGTAGCATGACCTAAGTGTAAGTAGAAGTAGGAAGATGTATCTGAAATCTTGCATGCTTATGAGACAGAAAAAAGACACCAGCAATCCTACCATCCATAACTACAGCATCCTTTAATTATTCCTCACTGTACTGTAGGTGTCTTACCTCTGTTTCTGAAAACTTTTTAGAGACTCCTCGTACCAGAGACTTGGCAGCTGCAAAGGGACAAGGAAGTGGCTGGTGAGGAAGAACTGCTGTTGTGCTTGGTAAAGTCCTTATCTTAGAAGTGAGCACTATGACTTCTTCACAATCTCCTAGAATCACTAGAGCTGACAACCAGCCAGAGATCAAGAGACCTTCGTATGCTGAACACATGCTACTCATCAAGGACATACTGCCTGGTCGGTCTAAAAGTGATGATGTGTACTGTATGGTGCACCTATTTGAAGAAAAAATATCTATTACTATTGTAATACATAGATACAAGTTACACAACTACATGATGACCTTTTGAAACAATTTTTTTTTAACACACTGGCCATCTCCCACCAAGATAGGGCGACCCAAAAAAGAAATACTTTCACCATCATTCACTTCATCATTGTCTTACCAGAGGCACACCGATACTAAAGTTCAGACGCCCCTTCAAACTGCAAATATCCCCACCTCTCCTTCAGAGTGCAAGCACAGCACTTGCCACTTCCAGGACTCTTAGTCCAGCTAACCAGTATTCCTGAATCACTTCACAAAATAATACCTTGCTCATACTCCAACAGCTCATCAAGTCTCAAAAACTATTTGTCTCCACCTATCTAACAAGCTCACACACACACACACTTGCTGGATGTCCAAGCCCCTCATAAACAAAACCTCCTTTACACCCTCTCTCCAACCTTTCCTAGGGAGACCCCCTACCTCACTTCCTCTCACCTACAGATTTATATACCCTCCAAGTCATCCTATTTATCCCCAACCTCTAAATATCCAAACCACCTCAACAATCCCTCCAAAAAAAAACAAAAAAATTTACAACCAAATATACAAGTAAAAAAAGGAAGTGAAGAGATTAAAACTTTTAAAGGAAACTACTAACAGTGGGTTTACAGCCTCATTTGTTAGAAAATAAGTAAAGAGTCCTAAAGCTGCTTCTCTCAGTCCTGAAGTAGAGCTGCTGCTCTCTCGACCCAAACAGAAGGTAAGTGAAGCAGCCACTGATGCAAGAGCAGCTGGTGGTGTCAGAGTGGTTGCCTGAGATTTGATAAAGGTCCCAAATTCTTTCCAAATTACTTCAACAACTTCAGAGCCCATTCCTCCTCCTCCTGAAACAATAAAGACCTTAAAATAGTTTTAATACCATCACTCCCTAAAATTATTCATGAAACCTGCTAATTACATTTTCAAACAAACAGTAAATCAACAAGGGTAAAAACTGTAGAAATAATTAAGAGGTGTACTGCAAAACTGTGCTGTATTTATCTGTGCTTCTGAACAGATTACATGAGTGGGTTATGGCTGTATTTAGTGAAAAAAAAAGTTCTCCATAAATTATTTAAAAAAATAAAAATAGCTAATTTTTTATAAAATATTGAGGCAAGTGATGGTTTTTCAAGAAAAACGATGGGCATGAAAGAAATATTGGAATCTCATTAAAAGTTTAATGAGAAAGACCAAGAAATTGATAAAATAAAGATATGATATTTCAAGGTTACTAATTTTGATTTGTAAGATAAAGTATGAATAAAGGAGTAGTAATATAGAGAGATGCAGAAAATGAAGCTTTGTGTATAGTCTATAGGAATTTTATAGAGATAAAAAGAATGGCTATTCTAAGTGAATGGACAACACTTCATAACTGGTAATTAAAACAAGTATGGATATAACAAAATAAGAATGCAGTGGCAATATCTACATGAGATGAGTATGACAGTTTTTATTACTTAGTTCTCATAAAAAAAAATTAAAAATTACATGTTACATGTACAGAAAATAATGTAAAATGAGGAAGAATGATATATGTCAGTAAGTGGCATATATCATTTACTAAGTGTAAAAAGAAGAAACACTTGTTTCTTCTTTTTTGAGTCACCCTTGCCCCAGGGAAACCACCAGTGTTAAAATACACATATAAACAGTTAATAAGGTTAGGACAAAATTTCTGTGAGGTAGAGTTACTACATAATTTTTTTTTTAACACACCAGCCAACTCCCACCAAGGCAGGGTGACCCAAAAAAACAAAGAAAGAAACACTTTCACCATCAATCACACGTAATCACTGTCTCTGCAGAAGTGCCCAGATGTGACAGTTTAGATGCCACTCCAAACAGCCAATATCCCAAAGCGCAGGTATTGTACTTCCCACCTCCAGGACTCAAGTCCAGTTTTCTTCTTTTTATTTTTAGTAAGCTATATGGGTAAAGGGGTTACTAGCCCATTGCTCCCAACATTTTAGTTGACTTTTACAACACACATGGCTTATGGAGGAAAAATTCTTATTCCATTTCCCCATGGATGTGAAAGGAAAATAAGTAATAAGAACAAGAACTATTAGGAAACCAAACAAAACTCTGATGGGTGTATATACATAAATGTGTGCAGACATGTGTAGTGTGACCTAACTGTAAGTAAAAGTAACAAGATATACCTGTTATCTTGTGTGTTTATGAGACAGAAAAGAAAAGACATCAGCACTCTTACCATCATGTAAAACAAATACAGGTCTTACACTCAATTGGCAGGACAGTAGTACTTCCCTGGGTAGTTGCTGTCTACTAACCAACTACATGAAATGACAAATAATATCTATTGTAATATATCTGTTGTACCTGAGTGCCTCTGCAAAAACAATGATTATGTATGAATGATGGTGAAAGTGTTGAATGATAGCGAAAGTTTTTTCTTTCTTTTTTGGGTTTTTCTTTCTTTTTGTAGGTCACCCTGCCTCGGTAGGAAAAGGTGGACGTGTTAAAATAAATATGTTGATGATAGCCTCCCTTCACTCTTCACTCTCCCTTTTTTCTCTCTTTTGCACTAAACTACTCTCACTACTTTCTACTACCACTATTTCTTCTACAACTACTTCTACTGACTACCACTACCACCACTACCTCTTCTTCTTCCTCTCTTGTTCCTGTCCCATTTCACGCTCACCTATATACAACGGCTTCCTCACTCTTTTGTGTTGATGTGACTTTGTAAATGATCCAAGTTAGACCAAAACATCATCGTAAGCTCCTCTCTCCTATATGCAGGTTATTTGTGCATTGTTCCAGTCCTCATTTAATGAAAGAGTTCTGTTCCTAAGACCAAATCAGCAAATGAATTCATCACTAATCAAGGAGCATACTATAATGGTAGTGGGTCTATGTCAACCATCTTTGATATTATTTTAATGTCACCTTTGCTCCATTTATAACATTTTCAGTATGTTTTGAAATGTTTATACAGTAGTGTACTGTATATTGTAATAAACAGAAGAGAAGAAATAAGCTTTAATATACATTATTTAGGTATGCACACTGGTCAGAGAGCCCGTTATAAGTTCAAGTTGTCAGTAAACGAGTACGTTGCTAAGTGAGGAGAGGCTGTACATGTTTTACAGAAAAACCCGTAAAGTTTATTCAGTTCAAGGAAACTACATATTTTTGTACATAGTTTATAGGGTACTTTAAAACAGCTGAGAAAAGGTTTACAATTCTGTAGTTGAATGGTAATAAAAAAATCAAAGTTTCTAAAACATGAATCCCACCAATTCCTTGAACTGTAGTACAGTACAGTAAACTATAAATCTACAGTAACATACAGTGATATCAGATGTTATTTTTTTTTTTTTTCAACAAGTCGGTCGTCTCCCACCGAGGCAGGGTGACCCAAAAAAGAAAGAAAATCCCCAAAAAGAAAATACTTTCATCATCATTCAACACTTTCACCACACTTGCACATTATCATTGTTTTTGCAGAGGTGCTCAGAATACAACAGTTTAGAAGCATACACATATAAAGATACACAACATATCCCTCCAAACTGCCAATATCAGATGTATATACAGTAATTAAATACAGACTTGGCTTCAGATATCATTCTCATACTGACCTGCCAGGTACTGAGGCTTTGAAGAAATGTCAAGAACTTTGCTGAGGGCTGCATCCATGGCACTAAGAAGAGCTTTGGTTTCAACAATGCCAACATGTTGAAGGACACCACTCAAACCTCCACCTGAAAATATACAAGAACAATAACATTTTGAATCATGGATGAGAATATAAGAGAGAATTACTATGAAGATAGCAGTAAAAATTTTTTTTTCCAACAAACCGGCCGCATCCCACCAAGGCAGGGTGGCCCAAATGGAAAAACGAAAGTTTCTACTTTTAAATTTACTAACATATACAGGAGAAGGGGTTACTAACCCTTTGCTCCCAGCATTTTAGTCACCTCTTACAACACGCATGGCTTACGGAGGAAGAATTCAGTTCCACTTTCCCCATGGAGATAAGCAAACATAAACAACCACCCAGGGAGGTACTACCGTCCTGCCAAGTGAGTGTAAAACAAAAGCCTGTAATTGTTTTACATGATGGTAGGATTGCTGGTGTCTTTTTTCTGTTTCATAAACATGCAAGATTTCACATACATCATGCTGCTTCTACTTACACTTAGGTCATACTACACATACATGTACAAGCATATACAGTGGACCCTCGCCTAACGAACGCATCGCATGACGTTAAATTCGACTAACGATACATTTTAACGCTAACATTTTGCCTCGGCTAACGCTAAAAAACTCGCCTAACGATATTCGTTCTCGGGTACCAGTTAATATTGTTAGGTGAGGGTTCACTGTATATACACACCCCTCTGGGTTTCCTGCTATTTTCTTTCTAATTCTTGTTCATTTCCTCTTATCTCCATGGGGAAGTGGAACAGAATTATTCTTCCGTAAGCCATGCGTGTTGTAAGAGGCGACTAAAATGCCGGGAGCAAGGGGCTAGTAACCCCTTCTCCTGTGTAAATTACTAAATTTGAAAAGAGAAACTTTTATTTTTCTTTATGGGCCACCCCGCCTCGGTGGGATACGACCGGTTTCTTGAAAGAAGAAGAAAGAAGTTCTTGTTCTTATTGCTTTTCCTTTTATATCCATGGGGAAGTGGAATAAGAATCTTTCCTCTGTAAGCCATGCATGTTGTAAAAGTCAACTAAAATGCCGGGAACAATGGGCTAGTAACCTCTTTTCCCATATAGCCTACTAAAAAGAAAAAGAAGAAAACCGTCAAAGTGGGATGTTTGAATGTGCATGGATGTTGTGCTAATGATAAGAGATGATTGTGGATGTTATGAATGAGAAGAAACCGGACGTCCTGGCTTTAAGTGAAACAAAGCTGAAGGGGGTGGGAGAGTTTCAGTGGGGAGAAATACAAAGGATTAAGTCAGGAGTTTCAAATAGAGTTAGAGCTAAAGATGGAGTACCAATAATGTTGAAGGATAAGTTATGGCAGGAAGAGGGAATATAAATCTATTAATTCAAGGATTATGAGTAAAATAAGGGTTGAATGTGAAAAGTGGGTTATAGCAAGCATTTATGCACCTGGAGAAGAGCAAAGTGTAGAGGAGAGAGAGAGATTTTGGGAAATGTTGAGTAAGTGCATGGGGAGTTTTGAACCAAGTGTGAGAGTACTTGTGGTTGGGGATTTCAATGCTAAAGTAGGTAAAAATGTTGTGGAGGGTGTACTAGGTAAATTTGGGGTGCCAGGGGTAAATGAAAATGGGGAGCCTTTAATTGAGCTATGTGTAGAAAGAGGTTTGGTAATAAATAATACATTAGTTTATGAAAAAGTGGATAAATAAGTATACAAGGTATGATATAGCACGTAATGAAAGTGGTGTTAGATAATGTATTGGTGAATAAAAGGTTGATGGGTAGGCTCCAGGATGTACATGTTTAGAGAGGGGCAACTGATATATTGGATCATTATTTAGTTGTAGTTACAGTTAGAGTGAGAAGTAGATGGGACAAAAGGAAAATGGCAACAACAAATAAGAGAGAGGTGAAAGTGTATAAACTAAGGGAGGAGGAAGTTCGGGTGAGATATAAGCAACTAAGTGTGTATTGGCAAAAAGGTCGGCTAGTGCAAGTATGAGTAGGGGGGGGGGGGTTGAAGAGGGTTGGAATAGTTTTAAAAATGTGGTATTAGAATGTGGGACAGAAGTTTGTCACTATAGAAGGGTGGGTGCAGGAGGAAAGAGGGGTGATTGGTGGAATGATGAAGTAAAGAGTGTGATAAAAGAGAAAAAGGTAGCTTATGAGAGTTTTTTACAAAGCAGAAGTGTTAAAAGAAGAGCAGAGTATATGGAGAGTAAAAGAAAGGTGAAGAGAGTGGTGAGAGAGTGCAAAAGGAGAACAGATGATAGAGTGGGAAAGGCACTGTCAAGAAATTTTGATGAAAGCAAGAAAAAATTTTTGGAGTGAGTTAAACAAGTTAAGAAAGCCTAGGGAACAGTTAAAAACAGAGTAGGGGAGTTAGCAGGTGGGGAGATGGAGGTATTGGGTAGATGGCAGGAATATTTTGAGGAACTTATAAATGTCGATGAAGAGAGGGAGGCAGTAATTTCATGCACTGGCCAGGGAGGTATAACATCTTGTAGGAGTGAAAAAGAGCAGGATGTGAGTGTGGTGGAGGTGTGTGAGGCATTACGTAGAATGAAAGGGGGTAAAGCAGCTCAAACGGACAGGATCATGACAGTAATGCTAAAAGCAGGGGGGATATAGTATTATAGTGGTTGGTATTTTTGTTTAATAAATGTATGAAAGAGGGGAAGGTACATAGGGATTAGCAGAGAGCAAGTATAGTTCCTTAATATAAAGAGAAGGGGAACAAAAGAGATTGTAAAAATTATAGGGGAATAAGTTTACTGAGTATACCAGGAAAAGTGTATGGTAGGGTTATTATTGAAAGAATTAGAGATAAGACAGAGTAGGAAGGCAGATGAGCAAGGAGGCTTTAGAGTCGGTAGGTAATGTGTAGATCAAGGGTTTACATTGAAGCATATATGTGAACAGTATTTAGACAAAGGTCGGAAAGTTTTTATTGCATGTATGGATTTAGAAAAGACATATGATAGAGTGGACAGGGAAGCAATGTGGCAGATGTTGCGAGTATATGGAATAGGTAGTAAGTTACTAAATGCTGAAAAGAATTTTTATGAGGATAGTGAGGCTCAGGTTAGGGTGTGTAGAAGAGAGGGTGATTATTTCCCAATAAAAGTAAGTCTTAGACAGGGATGTGTAATGTCACCATGGTTGTTTAATATATTTATGGATGGAGTTGTAAAAGAAGTAAATGCTAGGGTGTTCAGGAGAGGGGTGGAATTAAATTATGAGGAATCAAATACAAAATGGGAGTTGACATAGTTACTTTTTGCTGATGATACTGTGCTTATGGGAGATTCTAAAGAAAAGTTGCAGAGGTTAGTGGACGAGTTTGGGAGGGTGTGTAAAGGTAGAAAGTTGAAAGTGAACATACATAAGAGTAAGTTGATGAGGGTATCAAATGATTTAGATAAAGAAAAACTGGATATCACAATGGAGAGAGGGAGTACGGAAGAAGTGAATGTTTTCAGATATTTGGGAGTTGACGTGTCAGCGGATGGGTTTATGAAGGATGAGTTTAACCATAGAATTGATGAAAGAAAAAAAGTGAGTGGTGCATTGAGGTGTATGTGGAGACAAAAAGAAACATTATCTACGGAGGCAAAGAAGGGAATGTATGAAAGTACAGTGGTACCTACACTCTTATATGGGTGTGAAGCTTGGGTTGTAAATGCTGCAGCGAGGAGGCGGTTGGAGGCAGTGGAGATGTCCTGTCTAAGGGCAATGTGTGGTGCTAATATTATGCAGAAAATTCAAAGTGTGGAAATTAGGAGGTGTGGAGTTAATAAAAGTATTAGTTAGAGGGCTGAAGAGGGGTTGTTGAGGTGATTGGTCATTTAGAGAGAATGGATCAAAGTAGAAAGACATGCAGAGCATATAAATCTGTAGGGGAAGGAACGAGGGGTAGGGGTCGTCCTCAAAAAGGTTGGAGGAAGGGGGTAAAAAAAGGTTTTGTGGGTGAGGGGTTTGGACTTCCAGCAAGCATGCATAAGCATGTTAAATAGGAGTGAATGGAGACGAATGGTTTTAGGGACCTAACGAGCTGCTGGAGTGTGAGCAGGGTAATATTTAGTGAAGGGATTCAGGGAAACCAGTTAATTTTATATAGCTGGACTTGAGTACTGGTAATGGGATGTACAATGGCTGCACTTTAATGGAGGAGTTTGGCATATTGGCAGTTTGGAGGGATAGACTTGAATATTGGAAATGGGAAGTACAATGGTTGCACTTTAACCCTTTCAGGGTTTTCGACGTACTAGTACGGCTTAAGCACCAGGGTTATTGACATACTAGTACGCCTAAATTCTAGCGCCTTCAAATCTAGCGAGAGAAAGCTGGTAGGCCTACACATGAAAGAATGGGTCTATGTGGTCAGTGTGCGCAGTATAAAAAAATCCTGCAGCACACAGTGCGTAATGAGGAAAAAAAAAAAAAAACTTTGACCGTATTTTTGGATTAAAACAGCGAATTTGCACTGCATTTTCGTATGGTATTTACGGTTGTATTCTAGTTTTCCTGGTCTCATTTTATAGAATGGAAGACATATTACAGAAATTGAGATGATTTTGATTGGTTTCACAATGAAAAGTACCTTGAAATTGAGCTCAAAGTAGCAGAAATGTTCGATTTTTACCAAAGTTCAAAAGTAAACAAATCATGCCATGCGTCCAATACACGTCAACTGGTGAGTCTAATATTCTTTCCTAAGTGCGCTGATATTATTTATACCATTTCTACACTAATGCAGTAGTCTGCATAACAGTAAATCTTCTATTTTTTGTAAGAATAAAAATTCAATGTGGAAAGCAAAAGAAATACAAGTAGGGCCTGGGGATGTGACTAACGAACAGGGAACTTGTTATTTTAGTGCCAGGAATGTCTTTCTTGTTTATTCTGGACCCTATTTGGAAATTGGCATCTTCTGAAATTTGTGTGAAATTAGCAAAATTGCCAATTTCTAACCACTTTCTTGGATAGTTGAAATTGGTAAATGGGTGGTTTCTTGTACTCATTCATTAGAAAAAATGGAGTTCTAGCGAAATAAATATGATTTTTGTCAACTAGTACACAGGAACTGGCCAAAAATAGGGCTCAAAGTGAGCGGAATCGCCGATGCATAAACATCAGCAAGACCGCTAACTTCATGAGAGCATAATTCCGTAAGTTTTCCATCAAATTTCATACTTTTGGTGTCATTATGATCAGGAAAAGATTCTCTATCATTTCTTAAGAAAAAATAATTTGTTTTTTTCCGAAAAATTTCCAACCCTGAGAACAAGTTTAGGAGAGGGCCTCTTAACCCTGAAAGGGTTAATGGAGGGGTTTGGCATATTGGCAGTTCAGAGGTATATGTTATATATCTTGACATATGCTTCTAAACTGTTGTATCTGAGTGCCTCTGCAAAAACAATGATTATGTATGAGTGAGGTGAAACCTGGAGTTTACCTGGAGAGAGTTCCGGGGGTCAACGCCCCCGCGGCCCAGTCTGTGACCAGGCCTCCTGGTGGATCAGAACCTGATCAACCAGGCTGTTACTGCTGGCTGCACGCAAACCAACGTATGAGCCACAGCCCGGCTGGTCAGGAACCGACTTTAGGTGCTTGTCCAGTGCCAGCTTGAAGACTGCCAGGGGTCTGTTGGTAATCCCCCTTGTTGAATGATGATGAAAGTATTTTCTTTTTGGGGATTTTCTTTTTTTTTTTTGGGTCACCCTGCCTTGGTGGGAGATGGTCGATTTGTTAAAAAAAAAAAAAAAACTAGCACGAAAGTAGAAGAAAACCCAGAGGGGTGTGTATATAAATTCTTACATATGCATGTATAGTGTGACCTAAGTGTCAAGTAGAAGTAGCAAGACGTACCTGAAACCTTGCATGTTTATTCTTCTCTTCTTTCTTTCAACAAACCAGCCATATCCCACCAAGGCAGGGTGGCCCAAAAAGAAAAACAAAAGTTTCTCTTTTAAACTTTAGTAATGTATACAGGAGAAGGGATTACTAGCCCCTTACTCCCGGCATTTTAGTCACCTCTTATGACACACATGGCTTACGGGGGAAGAATTCTGTTTCACTCCCCCATGGAGATAAGAGGAAATAAACAAAAACTACTGGTCCACATCCTTTTGTTCAAAATTCTGAAATGTGAAAAGTTCCAAAAACCGAAGTTTTTTCGTGGAGTGTGGAGCATCAGTCATCTCAGTGCTGGGTTATGCTGCCACGTGGTGACGTGACCCAGCACTGACAGCCATGAAAAATTCTGAAATTCGAAACACTACTGGTCCCAAGGGTTTCGGATAAATGGATGTGGACCCGTAGTAAGAAAATAGAGGAAAACCCAGAGGGGTGTGTATATATATGCTTGTACATGCAAGTGTAGTATGATCCAAGTGCAAGTAGAAGTACCAAGAAGTACCTAAAATTTTGCATGTTTATGAGACAGAAAAAAGACACCAGCAATCCTACCATCATGTAAAACAATTACAGGTTTCCATTTTCCATTCACTTGGCAGGATAGTAGTACAATACCTCTCCGGGTGGTTGCTGTCTACCAACCTACTACCTAGGAACATTAAGAAAAATGAAAATTTCTCTTTAAATCGAGTAACGTATACAGAAGGGGCTACTAGCCCCTTGCTCCTGGCATTTTAGTCGCCTCTTATGACACACATGGCTTACGGAGGAAGAATTCTGTTCCACTTCCCCATGGTGAAGCAGTAAGAATTATACACTTAAAAAGTTCCAAGCTAAATAGAAGGGCAGCAACACAGTAATGGGAAGCTTCAAAAATGAATCAAACAAAAACAGTACATGAGTTGGAATGGTTGGGCTTATGTAGGACCAATCTCACACAGGCCAGTAGGCCTACTGTAGTTTGCCTCAATTCTAATGTGAGTGTAAAGGGCTGAGCAAGAGCAATAGTGTATCAAAGAGGTTTATGTCACTTCATTTGGGCTGCATTTAAAGCTGCATAAAATATTGAAGGAATACATACATACATTCTCTATGGGGAAGTGGAACAGAATTCTTCCTCCGTAAGTCATGCGTGTCGTAAGAGGCGACTAAAATGCCAGGAGCGAGGGACTAGTGACCCCTTTTTCCTGTATGCACTACTAAACGTAAAAAGAGAAATGTTCGTTTTTTTTTTTTAGATCACCCTGTCTCAGTAGGATACGGCTGGGTCTTTGGAAACAAATATACTTACATGCATGTGAATATGCTCACACAAAACCTAGTGCAATATTATAATTAAAAAGAAGTAAAAATCAACTATAAAAAAGTCAGGTACAGAAAAAGGTTTTGTTATACATGGATTTGTTCTAGGCAAATTTTTTTAATATTCTGTATATGTATGATTTATATTTCTTTTTTTAGAAGTTTTATATGTCTGGTCTTCATCTACATACCTGGCCAGAGACAGCTGTAAACTGTTTCTGTACTTAGTCATTTACTAGCTTCAGCATGCTTAGTCAAGTTACAACTATCTAGTAACGTAATTATCATCGTTGCATTTGTTGGAGAGTATGAAACCCATAGGGGTCATATAGTGCCTAGGAAATGAGTGGCAATCAGATTCAATCCATGGATGGGAAGAATAGCTCCAATTCCTTGGACCAAGAGCCACTCAGCATCAAGGTACCTTCCCTGAAGGGAATACAGTTAATCCTCTATTAAACATACTTTGGAAATAAATTAAGTTGAGAAAATGGATGCTTGAACAATTTATAAAAAATGGGCTCATTTTTTTTTTATAAATTTAGGCAAGAGGTTAGTAAGAGTGAGTGAGAGTGTAACCAGTCTCAAGGTTGGAAAACAATATAATACTTACTAGACTGTAATTGCAGTAAGTATACCTATATGTAACTAGAATTGTTGACCTTTATTTATATCTCTTCAGTATTTAATCTACCAAATAATAGTAAAGGAATTAAATTTAAACCAACATACATCAAATAAACTACTTTTCCCAACAGTTTCAAACTTCTTGATTCACCCTGGTTTATATTTGTCTAGACTTAAAGAAAGAGTACAGAATCTTTGAAAATCTCAGCGAAAGTGAGAGATGAATAAAGCATAACACACCAAAATATAACTTACATATAAGGGAATGTTGTGCTAGTGTTAGATCATGGCTTTGGTCAAACACTTCCTGGATTCCTTCAGCATATATAGTAATCAACTGGCCCAAATCCCTGAAAAAAAAAAAAATTGTCAATAAATTTTTTCGTGTGTGAGCGTGTTAGATAGGAATGAGTGGAGGCAAGTGGTTTTTATGATTTGACATGCTGTTGGAGTGTGAGCAAGGCAACATTTATGAAGGGATTCAGGGAAACTGGTTAGTTAGACTTGAGTCCTGGAGGTGGAGGGTACAGTGCCTGCATTCTGAAGGAGATATGTTGCAGTTTTTGAATTGTAGTGTTAGTGTGTGTCTGGCAAGAGAGCGATGGAGTGAGTGATGATGAAAATGTTTCTTCTTTTTCGGGTCACCCTATCTCGGTGGGAAACAGCCAATGTGTTAAAAAAAATTTAGTTTACTTTATCACCTTTGTTAATGGCTCATTGCTATTACAACATGAAATTAAGACGAACCTGAATAGCTAATCCTAGCTAACCTATAAATCTATTAAAAAATGTTGAGGAGTTGGACTATATAAAGATTATCATCAATGAAGAACATTGCATTAGTGATGTTTACACTGAGGTATTTCAGCTTTAGTTCAGAATATAATATAATTACACATAGCATAATGAAGGACCGTGATACAAACCTTCTGTGCATGGCATCCCTTGATGTTATGTACTCATGGCAAGCAGCTTCTACAATAGGATTAAACTTTTGTACAACTGGAGATATGTCACACCCAGATGCAAGCAACAGTAAAGTGGATGCCAAAAAGCCTCTCCACACAATCCGTGCCTTACTGACACTGCATGTTGGAACCATGGACAACAGTTCAGCCAACTTGTTACTCTGAAATGTTTATAAATTTATAAAATGACAAATGGTGAAGTCATTAACAAACAAAGCAAAAAACATGAAAGTAAATACAAAAGATATATACTTTACTACTAAGATGAATATCCACTTTACAAGAATTTTATTTTTTCTAATGAAAAAAATGAGACTTGGGGAATAAATCTGTATAATTAATTTGTGATTTGATTTTGTAAAAGTAATGATACCATCATCATTGGACTGACAGTGGCATGCTTCTTTTAACCCTTTCAGGGTCGAGAGGCCCTCTCCTAAACTTGTTCTCAGGGTCGAAAATTTTTCGGAAAAAAAAAATTATTTTTTCTTATGAAAAGATAGAGAATGTTTTCCCAATCATAATGACACCAAAAGTATGAAATTTGATGGAAAACTTACGAAATTATGCTCTCACGAAGTTAGTGGTCTAGACGATGTTTATGCATCGGCGATTTTGCCCACTTTGAGCCCTATTTTCGGCCAATTCCAGTGTACTAGTCAACAAAAATCATAACTATTTCGCTAGAACTCCATATTTTTCTATCGAATGAGTACAAGAAACCACCCATTTACCAGTTTCAACTATCCAATAAAGTGGTCATAAATTAGCAATTTTGCCAATTTCACACAAATTTCAAAAGATGCCAATTTCCAAATAGGGTCAAGAATAAACAAAACAGACATTCCTGGCACTAAAATAACATTTCCTCTGTTCATTAGTTATGTCACCAGGCCTCTCTTATGTTTATTTTGCTTTCCACTTTGAATTTTTATTCTCACAAAAAATAGATTTACTGTTATGCAGGCTACTGCATTAGTGTAGAAATGGTATAAATAATATTAGTGCACTTGTGAAAGAATATTAGACTCACCAGTTGATGTGTATTGGATGCGTGGCATGATTTGTTTACTTTTGAACTTAGGTAAAAATTGAACATTTCTGCTACTTTGAGCTCAATTTCAAGGTACTTTTCATTGTGAAACCAATCAAAATCATCTCAATTTCCGTAATATGTCCTCCATTCTATAAAATGAGACCAGGAAAACTAGAATACAACCATAAATACCATACGAAAAAACAGTGCAAAGTCGCTGTTTTAAACCAAAAACACAAAGTTTTTTTTTTTTCTCATTTCGCACTGTGTGCTGTAGGATTTTTTTTATACTGTGCACAATGACCACATAGACCCATTCTTTCATATGTAGGCCCACCAGCTTTCTCTTGCTAGATTTCAAGGTGCTAGAATTTAGGCATTCTAGTACGTCAATAACCCTGGTGCGTAAGCCGTACTGGTACGTCGAAAACCCTGAAAGGGTTAACTATGCTCTTGCTCTAGTTTCATCATTCCAAGTTTCAACTCCAGCATTTATTTAAAATGCTGCAAACTGAGTAGCTACTAGAGCATTTCTGTTATATTTTGTTTATATCAAATATATGTTTACATTTAACACCAACAAAAGCAATTTCCATAAGGATAAAGAGTAAAAAATGCAGTGGTGCAAAGGCTATGAGGAGTACGAATACCTTAGGAAAAGAAAAGAAAACAATTCATTCATTCATTCTTATTCTCTCTCTCATTCTCTTTCTCTCATTCTCTCTCTTTCTCTCATTCTCTTTCTCTCATTCTCTCTCTCTCTCATTCTCTCTCTCTCTCCCTAGTTTTGCCCTCAAAGACCCCTCTATCTGAAGAGACACTGACCCCTTCCAACCCTTTGTTTCCATGGCAATTGATAATAACTGTATTCCCTCTTTTTCTTGCACCAAACTATCTATCCATCATTGACTTAGGAGACAATTTGTGGCCATATCAGCATTAATCTTCTGGAGACAAAAATTGTCATCCATGGAGGCAAAGAAGGGAATGTACGAGTGTATAGCGGTACCAACACTCTTATACGGGTGTGAAGCATGGGTTGTAAATGCTGCAGCGAAAAGACGGCTGGAGGCAGTGGAGATGTCCTGTCTAAGGGTAATGTGTGGTGTAAATATTATGCAGAAAATTTGTAGTGTGGAAATTAGGAGGAAGTGTGGAGTTACTAAAAGTATTAGTCAGAGGGCTGAAGAGGGGCTGTTGAGAAGGTCTGGTCATTTAGAGAGAATGGAACAAAGTAAAATGACTTGGAAGTGTATAAATCTGTAGGGGAAGGAAGGCGGGGTAGGGGTTGTCCCCAAAAAGGTTGGAGGGAGGGGGTAAAGGAGGTTTCGTGGGTGAGGGGCTTGGACTTTCAATAAGCATGCATGAGCATGTTAGATAGGAGTGAATGGTTCTGGGGACTTGATAAGTTGTTGGAGTGTGAGCAGGGTAATATTTTGTAAAAGGATTCAGGGAAACCAGTTAGCCGGACTTGAGTAATGGAAATGGGAAGTACAATACCTGCACTTTAACCCTTTCAGGGTCCGTGCCATAGATCTACGGCTTTGAAGCCAGGGTCCAAACCATATATCTATGCCCTGAACTTAGCTCACTCAGATAACCTGTGAGCAGTAAATTTGGGCCTAAATATGAAAGAACACAGCTATTTGGTAAGTACACACCACATAAAACAAATCCTTCAGCACGCAGTGCATAATGAGAGAAAAAAATTGCGACTGTAATTTTGGATTAAAACAGCAACTTTGCGGTGTTTTTTCGAATGTTTTTTACAGTTGTATTCATGATTTCTTGATCTCATTTGATAGAATGGAATATATGTTACAGAAGTAGAGATCATTTTGATTGGTTTTAGTACGGAAACGGTTTGAAACCGAGCTCAAAATAGCAGAAATGTTCAATTTTTGCCAATGTTCAAGAGTAAATAAATGTCGTCACAAGTTTAATACGCATCAGCTGGTGGGTCTAATATACATTCACGAATGTGCTGATATTATTTATACAATTATTACAACATTGCATAACAATAATCTTCAATTTTTTGGTGTGAATAAAAATTCATTATGTAAATAAAAAATAAAAATGGAATTCATTTGTAAAGCCTGAAAATATAACTAATGAACAGAGGAAATGTTAGTTTAGTGCCAGGAATGACTGCATTGTTTATTCTGGGCCCTATTTTGAAATTAGAATATTTTGAACTGTGTTAAATTGACCAAATTACCAATTTCCAATCACTTTATTGGGTAGTTGAAACAGTTGACTGGGTGATTTCTTGTGCTCAATTGATAAAATAGAAGTAATACTAGCAAAATAGCCAAGAATTTTGTCGACTGGAGTAATTGGCCTAAAATGGGAGTTAAATTTGGCAAAATAGCCGATGCATAAATATCGCTGATGCATCAAAATTCGCAAGAGCGTAATTTTGTCAATTTTCCATCAAATTTCATGCTTTTTGCTTTATTACCTTCAGAAAAAGATTCTCTACCATTTCATAAGAAAAAAATAACAGAATTTTTTTTTTTAAATTCTTGGATCCTGGCTGTCACTGAGATTTGGCCTCTGGACCCTGAAAGGGTTAAAGGAGGGGTTTGGGATATTGGCAGTTTGAAAGGACATCTGAACTGTCGTATCTGGGCACCTCTGCAAAGACGGTGATTATGTATGAGCGATGGTGAAAGTGTTGAATGACGAAAGTTTTTTCTTTCTTTTAGGGTTTTTCTTTTTTTGGGGTCACCCTGCCTTGGTGGGAGATGGCCAACGTATTAAAAAAAAAAATCAGCATTAATCAAAGAGACAATTCCAGAAAGATATTCTTCTTTTGGGTCACCCAACCTTGGTGAGTGACAAGTTATGTGTTAAAAAAATCAAGAAATAGACCATGACAGATTTCATCTTAATAATATAAAAAAAAAACTAAGCTAAATACAAAATAAGAAATGATGCATTTACCACATCAACAAGATCTGTTGTATTGGCAAGAATGAGAAATAGAGTTGTGCAGTTATAAAGACCCATCGGTGAGAGCTCTGACATTCTGCGTTGGTGGAACTTAGAATAGATACGGCCCCTCATCTGCCGCCACTCTGCTGAACTGGTTTCCACCACTCCCACTGAAATGTTAAACAAGAAGACAGCTGAAATAACAAATCAAATGTAAGGCTATAACTGCTCTCATTGTATTTTAATCTGCATCTGTGAAGAAAGAAGTACTGGAATATAATGATACCAACACTTTCATATGGGTGTGAGGTATGGGCCTTAAACATTGCAGCAAGGAGGCTTGAAGCAATGAAGATGTCATGTTTGAGAGCAATGCATGGTGTAAATATTTTAGAGAATTCATAGCAGAGATCAGAAGACAGCGAGGGGCTACCAAAAGTATAATTCAAAGGGCTGAGAAGAGATCATTGGAGGTTTGGACATTTAGAGACTGGGAAAGAATACAATGACTAAGAGGGTTATATAAAACTAGAGTGGAAGGAAGGAAGGGTACAGGTTGTCCCAAGAAACATAGGAAGGAAGGGGTATGAACACATCAGATTCAATCGAGTGGTTTTTTATGATGTGCTGTTGGAGTGTGCGCAAGGTAACATTTATGAAGAGATTCAGGGAAACCAGTTAGCTGGAGGAGAAAAGTAGAGTGCCTGCTTTCTAAAAGAGGGGTGGAAATGTTGCAGCTTGGAGGAATATTTGAATTGTCATGTCTGAGCTCTTCTGATTATTTGATGAGTACAATACTGATGCAAAGCTCATAACAGATAGTACAGCATTACAGCCATAGGAACAAAACTATTGACATAAATTTATATTTTAATGACTACCAATTATTCCTGACTATAATGAGAGCAACCTTTGAGGTTCCAATCATTCCAGAAAATGATATTTGTGTGGGAAGTATAAGATCATGTAATCTCAAGGAAGAACTAAGATTCGCACATATTTCATTTTATCTCAGACTCCAAACCATGTCTAACATAAGGTGTCTGAAAGAAAAATAATATAGTATTATTATTATAATAAATAAGGGAAACCATTAAACCCATAGGGGTTATACCTAGGCTATGGAATGGGAGGCAATTGGGTTCAATCTAAGAAAAGGGAGGACACATCCAATTCCTTGGATCAAGATCCCCTCACCAGCATCAAGAAACCTCCCTTGAGAGGAAAAATAATATAAACAACTGTAATTGCATTTATTTATTACTTACCTACAGTCCTGAGAAATATATGCCATGATGTTTCATTCTTCCCTACTGAGGCTAAATCACAAGCTCGAGATTTGACTTGTTCCAGCCAACCACTAGCAGTTTTACTGTAAATTGTTCCACATTTCATTATTTAAATATATGTACAAATTTTAATATAAACATGTATTTAAAAGATTAATTTACATTATGAGTAATAAAAGCCACAATAACATGGCCAAAAAATTCATAACAACAACAATCAGAGATAAATAATTAAGAATAATTTAGATTTACTGTATACAAGTAAAAAGAGCTAAAAGAATACAATATAGGTCTACAATGAGCTTGAATCACATTTCTTTATAACAAATATTACATCAGTGTAAATATTTTTTGCTTATGACATAACTAGAAACTCTTTCAGTCAATTATTACCCTAGAACATTTCAAGAAACAAGATATTAACTAACCTAACACATGCGAGCCCATCTAATCCTGCACCGGGTAGGAGAAAGGAATCATCAAGATGCTTAGAGAAGTAATCCCATAAAGCTACCGCCCATTCACTGCTCCTTTCTCCACCCCACAGTTGCTGTAAACTTAAACAACATCGCATGTAAAATCGTAGCTCAGCTTCAGTTGGCTGGTGTCCACTTCTGGGTTCACTTAGAGACATTTTGATAAGAGTTCGCAGCAGTTTTGTTTCACTCTTGATTTCCATCTGTTAATATATGAAAACGATAGTCACTGTATATGGCACACTGCATACATAATTTCTTAACATCAGCATGACGAAATATGAGAAATTTAAGAGCCATTGCCTATTTTCCAACAGATGTATTTACAGTAAGTATTTTATAACAATATACACACAAAAAAATTGTGCCAACTTACTGATTTTGTCACTATTTTCTTCCCATTCATATCAAATCCATAGAGTTGAGAAAAGTTACAGAAGATCCACCATATATGAGGAAGTTGCACTTCCTTCACAATGGCAGCTGGGTAATGAATAATTTGGTTACTCTGCTCTAAGGATAATACTGAGGAAGATGATGGTGAAGAGCTACTGGAAGATGATCGTGCAGCTGGAGTACAAGATTCGCTATAGATTTTAAGCAGGAAAAGTAGTTTGTACTTAATTTTTTCCCAGAAACCCTGAAAAAGGACAAAAGTAGTAAAGATGACATGGCCAACAGTCATAATGATAGTCAGATCAACTATGGCAGTCAAGTTGTGCAGTCAGCTAGCCAGTCAAGCCAAATGGCAACCAGCCAGCAAACCAGAAATTCAGATACGAACCAGCCAGATAATTTAGTGTCAGCCAGCCAAGATACCATCACAGACATACATACATATACATATGGGGAAGGATGTCTCAAAAGACATTTAACTTAACTAAAGTTTTTGGGAATGAAGCTAAGCAAGAAGCCACTATTATATGCTCAACTGCTTTTTCTCAAGTGTGAAATGGGGAGCCAATGAATTGTAACTAGTGCAGGCAAGATCCAGTTAACAGAATCTTAAATCAATAATTCCCCAAGTAAATCAAAAACCATTATCCCAGGCCTCTGAATCTGCCTCATTGCAATTTATCATTAACTAACAACTCTTTCTCATCATCTGTACTACACCCAAGCACATGCAATCAACCTAACTTTAAATTTCCTTCTTTGTCACTTTAGTAAATGATACACAAGGGGTGTTAGCCCCTTGGTCTCAGCATTTTTGTCACCTTTTATAACACGTGTTACTTATTGAGAAATTAATCTAACCCACTGTCAGTGGAACTGAAAGAAAACACTGCAGCAACAACAAATAACAAAAAATTCAGAAGAAAACTAAAAAAGCACAAGTAAAAAACTTAACTTTTTTTCTGCAAGAAAATCGCTTTTATTAGAAGAAACTGTTAAATATTACATAACACATGAAGCATAAGGTATCTGAGTACCTCTACAAAGACGGTGATTATGTGAGAATGATGGTGAAAGCGTTGAATGATGTTGAAAGTGTTTCTTTTTTGAGTCACCCTGCCTTGGTGGGAAACGGCCAACGTGTTAAAAAAAACAAAAAACATTAAGCACGGTGAGTACCAGCAATTTCAAATTATTAGCTTTCAAGTTAAACACAGTTCTTCCTTATTCATACACTGTAATCAAAATAATTAGCTTTGAAAAAATACACCAACTATAGCTTAAGATAAAGCATGTTGCATACCTGTTTGGCAAGACGTATATGTCTATGATCCAGAAGGTGAAGCGTCATGAGTCCCAGTTCTTGCGAACATGTACAGGAGAACCCTGCCACTTGATGCATCTCACTCACACCCTTCTGAAGATACCACACACATTTATTAATACCAACACTTTATCTCTCAAATTCTACCAATTAATCATCTCTTGACATATTTCTCCAGCAACGAGAAAAGCTTACAGAAGTGGTATTTAATTTTAGGATAATTATCCCTGAGATGTAATTCTGTACCTTTTTTTGGGGTCAGGTGTAACCAACTTGTGACACTGTTTAAATTATTTACATTTATAAAGGGAGGGGACAGCAATTACAGTTTTGTTACCTACTACAGTTCAAGAGGTAACAGAGCCAAAAACATTAAATACCATTATCCTACAGGACACAATATCAAAAAAAAAAAAAAAAAAAAAAAAAGACTAGTTTGTTCACGGCACATTTAATTACTTTTCTGTCATTCTCAAGCCATTGGCCTCATTTCCCATCAATCCCCTTACAATCTGATCATCCTTCACTGAGAGACTGGGGTCTTATACACATCGAACCAAGGCTCATGATATGTAGGGTGGGGAGCCTGAAAATACTGGCTGTAACTCCTGAAGAGTCCAACAAAAACTACTCAGGTTTTAATAATTCCAGCATAAGACTGGAAGGGAATACTTTTCAAATAATGACTATTGGGCATCACTCACAGATATTGTGCATGCAGTGCAAGGCATGATACTATAAACTAACATAAATTAAAGTTTTTTCATGCTTTCCTTTTCCAATTACTTTCACTGAATTCATAGCAAATCTTCAATCAGGGTATAAAATACATGTTTCCATTCATTCAACTTTTTTTCTTTTTATTAACACATTGGCTGTTTCCCACCAAGGTAGGGTGGCCCGAAAAAGTAAAATCTTTCACTATCATTCACTCCATCACCGTCTTCCCAGAGGCGCACTTACACTACAGTTATAAAACTGCAACATTAACACCCCTCCTTCATTAAGAAATATTTTATTTTTTGGGTCATCCAGCATTGGTGCGAAATGTAGGAAAGCTAACAAAAATACTAGAAAAGAGCCAAGGATTTGTTTGCGAGAGATAAAAAAAAATTATTCATACAAGCATTGTGAATATGCAATAAATAATAGATGTCTCAACACACCATTCCTAGGAGGGGGCAATTTAACATTTGATACAAGGTTTCGATTCAGATAAAATTTATTCATTCATACTATTTTAAGTTGCATATATAATCAGGCAAAAAAAAAAAAATTCATTCATAACGATCACAAATTCAATTCAGGACAATGTAAGTAATACTGTGACTCAGCAGTAATAAATGCCACACCAACCTTGAGTCCTTCCCGAAACATGATAGTGATAAGATCCCACAGTATAAGTGATATACACTGCTCTAGGGGTGACTGCTCATTCATTTCTGATACACTTGCCCCTTGGGCACCTTGTGGCTCTGATACAAGGAGGAAGGGGGAGTCCATAGAGCGGGAGTCACAGTGAGGAAGAGATCCCAAGGTCGACTCAATAAGATGAATGAGAGCAAGACTCCACCATCGTACATCTAGATGAAGGTGAAGTAAATGGTAAGCAGCAGAGGGGCACTGCAAAGTAAAGGATAAACTTTACTACTCATACAAAAAACTGCGACATTTTTATTAATTAAATTTGGTTATAGTATAGGTCGGACATCAGAAGAGAAGTAAACCTAAACAGGGCTGTCATGGGTAGTTTCCCAGGTAGCTACCCACTTACACATACAGGCTGGGTTAAAAAACCATGTCTGACCTAGCACCTTAACTCAAAAAGCTATTATTTTTTATGGTTTGGATATAAAGAGTGAAAGTGGTGAAAATATTGAATGATGAAAGTTTTTTTTTCTTTTTGGGCCACCCTGCCTCAGCGGGAAACAGCTAACATGTTTAAAACAAAATTAAGAGTTAATGTAATTTAGCTCTTAAGTGTTTCATTTATGCTTTTATAATCTGGTCAAAAATACAGTAGTATTTAAAAAAGTGCTGAAATGTTACTGAATACATAAATACTGTGCAGTCTTTTTATTACCTAGTCTGCTTCTTAATTTGGTACAAATTTGCCCAAAAGTAGAGAGGATACTCTCAACTGAAGCAAAGCTTGCTGGAAGGCTGCCTAGTTCAAGCATGAGAGAGCAAATGTCAGTTGAAACCAAACTGGTAGATTTTTCTGCTTTTGTTTTCATTTGTTTCCACCACTTGGCTGAGGAGAAAATTTCAGTTGTTTTTGGCAACAGCATTGATTCTGGACAAATATGCTCATGACCAATTAAAAAATAAGTGGTTAATGCACTGGCCTGTGAGCTTTAGGGCTCACTTGCCACGAGTTCAAGACCCACCTGTTCCATGATTTGTTTACAATCGTGTTATTATGAAAACAGCAAGTAGAGGTGTAAAAAAATCTTCATGGATCTGTGACAGCCACTCAGAAGATTCTTGCTCTTGCTCCCTTGTCAACTTACTACCTTTGCCACTAGGTGAGCAGGTGTCTCACACTGTTAACCCTTTCACGGTTGGTGCCGTACCAGTATGGCTTGCATGCCAGGATTGGTGCCGTACTAGTATGCATAAATTCTAGAGCCTTCAAATCTAGCGAGAGAATGCTGGTAGGCCTACATATGAAAGAATGGGTCTATGTGGTCAGTGTGTGCAGTATAAAAAAAATCCTGCAGCACACAGTGCATAATGAGAAAAAAACTCCAACCGTGTTTTTGGTTTAAAACAGCGACTTTGCAGTGTATTTCCGTATGCTATTTATGGTTGTGCTCTAGTTTTCTTGGTCTCATTTTATAGAATGGAAGACATATTACAGAAATTGAGATGATTTTGATTGGTTTCACAATGAAAAGTACCTTGAAATTGAGCTCAAAGCAGCAGAAATGTTTGATTTTTGCCAAAGTTCAAAAGTAAACAAATCATGCCACGCGTCCAATACACATCAATTGGTGAGTCTAATATTCTTTCACAAGTGCGCTGATATTATTTATACCATTTCTACACTAATGCAGTAGTCTGCATAACAGTAAATCTTCTATTTTTTAGTGAGAATAAAAATTCAAAGTGGAAAGCAAAAGAAATGTAAGAGAGGCCTGGAGACGTGACTAATGAACAGAGGAAATGTTATTTTAGTGCCAGGAATGTCTGTCTTGTTTATTCTGGACCATATTTGGAAATTGGCATCATTTGAAATTTGTGTGAAATTGGCAAAATTGCCAATTTCTGACCACTTTATTGGATGTTGAAATCAGTAAATGGGTGGTTTCTTGTACTCATTCGATAGACAAAATGGAGTTCTAGCAAAATAGTTATGATTTTTGTTGACTGGTACATTGGAATTGGCCGAAAATAGGGCTCAAAGTGGGCGAAATCACTTATGCGTAAACATCGTCGAGACCGCTAACTTCGCAAGAGCATAATTTCGTGAGTTTTCCATCAAATTTCATACTTTTGGTGTCATTATGATCGGGAAAATATTTTCTATCATTTCATAATTATTATTATAATCAAAAAGAAGCGCTAAGCCACAAGGACTATACAGCAATCTAGAAATATAATTTTTTTTTTTTTTCAAAAAATTTCCGACCCTAAGAACAAGTTTAGGAGAGGGCCTGCCGACCCTGAAAGGTTTAAATCTCTTACTAATGATTTCTTTCTAATTGTGTATCTTGTAGGTAAATTATAATAGCATTACATTAAGGCAAAAAAGAAAGACAAAAAATGAGAAAATGGACTTTTGTAAAAACTTAGGTGAGAAAGTTACAGCAACAGTATGAGTACTGTGTAGGAGTAATATTTTAAATTTAAGATTTAATTTAAGTCTGCCCGAAATGCCTAGCCATGCTAGGTGTTCTAGTGGTACACTTTGTAATTATTATTTTACTACATGTAAATCACACAATAACCAAATTCTGTAAACTCAGCATTGTAATCCTTATAGAGAATAAACTTTGAATTTGAGTAAAAGTGAAATTATAAGGAAACCTTTTCTATCCTAAGTTGGACACACATTTTATTGATAAAATTTACTTATCTTGCTTTTTTATATGATTGGAGTTGGAAAATGGTGTGAAGGAGGTTTAAAGTGGGAGGACCTTAAGAATCCAGCGGGAAAGTGTGTTAGATGATAGTAACTGACAAGTGGTTTTAAGGATCTGAAATGCTGCTGTAGTGTGAGCAAGATAATTAATATTTATGAAGGGATTCAGGAAAACTGGTTAGCCAGACTCAAGTCTTGGAGATGAGATGTAGAGTGCCTGCACTCTGCAGGGGGGTAGGAATGCTGCAATTCATTGGGTCATTTGAATTGTGATGTCTGGGCACTTTTGGAAAGCCGGCTATTGAATGGATGATGGTAAATGTTTCCTTTATTTTAAGGGAGAGAGTCACCCTACCTTAGTGCAAGATGGCTGGCACTGTAAGGAAAAAATCCAGGGTAGGAAAAAACAACAATATTTAGTACACATAAGCCCTATCAAACACAATTCTATAGCTAGAAGTAAAAGACAATGGTTTGGCTAAACACAGCTGTTACCCTAGCCTCCATCTAGAGGAAGATAAAAATGGACTGCCACAGTGACCACTAGAACTCTGAAGAACTTCACACAACCTAAGGCAAACAACAGAAACCAACTTTCTGGGGGAGTGGCCTAAAGACTCATGCTAGCAAACACAAGTGCTCCTGCCACATCACCAATAAAACAAAAATTTGTGTGGTACACAGGAACACAGTCTTACATCTTATAAACTAGGAACAGACAGAACTCAACATTGCTGAGAGAGATGTAAATGGGGTATTACAAAATGTTACGACAAAGTTAAATATTAAGCAACAGGTAGGGGTATTAAAATATAATTTTTAGAAAACAGAGACTAAGTTTTGTTTGCTTTAAAATAAAGTATAATATTGAAGTATTGAAGTAGCGTAAACCTTATTTCCCTGTGAAGAGCTTGCAGATGTCACATGCTGTTGCAGTTCATGCAATGGGCCCAGGTGAAGTAAAGTGTCTAAAACTTCTGCAACCACACACTTAAGAAACTCTTCATTTCCCTCACTCCCTAAGCTATGTACATGGGACACGAGACAGTTGTAGAAAGTCCCAATATCCTCTCGAATCTTGGGGTACTGCACATCATGGCAACTCTGATTTGTGCACAAAGATGATTTAGCACCTTTCTCCAACTCTATTACACCTTGCCTGCAACAATTAATACTGTTTAGATAATATGGCAACAATTGCCACAAAAAAAAAGCATAAAAACTGAAGCTTTGTTTCATAATCAATAATACAAAGAAAATCATGCAATGTATTGCAGCATAAATAAAAAAATGGCTGTTTATGTGTGGTGTCTATGTAGAATAATTAAATTATAAGACAGACACACACATGCAGACACACACACACAAACATGCACATTAACAAAAACTATTATTTTAGCTGTTCTACATACCGAACAGCCATGAAAAAATGGACGAGATTAAAGTGAAGGTTATCTGCTGTGCAGGGTAGGTGAAATATCACCTCTGGAGAGTGCAGAGCAGTAGGACAAGGGTTTCTATATTGCAGAATCATGCTAAAGCTTGTCGGCCAGTGCAAGATAAGTTACTGAAATTGTCTGTCCAGCGAACTTCGCCCAAACAAGAGAATATCAGAGGACCCTCATTTGTGACTGGTGAAGAGGCTAGAAAAAAGGGGATTAAAATTATATGCTACATTTTCTACACAGAAGAGCCAGTCAAAATATTTTAACATCTTATCTAAATCTAGCATTAACTCAAGTTATTCCACATTACTTTAAAGAAGTCTACAGTATTTCTACCTGTTGTACAACTGTTTTACTATGTTTAATGCAAGCATGTCATAAAACATTACTACTAATGATGAACCTGACACTTATATATGAACCTGTTTCCCAAAGTCAAAAAAAACAAACAATCACCTTTTTCTTTCTTGACTGGAGATGGTTCAAACTCATTCATAAAAAAATCCATGTAGTCAAGACTGTCACTGTCCATCTGGAGGTCCCCTTCCCCTTCCCCTTTCCCCATCTGGTCTAGGGGAGGGGTCAGAGGTGGAGTCATTGACATGGTCTCCGACATTAGCCCTCAGGAGAGGAAAATTGGACTATTATCAAAAGGTGTCATATCTGGAAAGAAAATGATGAAATTTTAGTAAATGCCAGTAAGTAATCTCACAGATGTTACCACTTTATTGATCAATCAGGAAATTTTTTCTACTGACAAAGTGTTCTCCCACACATGAATTTAGCAAAACTATAAGCCTAACCTACATCTTGATTATGTTGCTGAATAACCTGTAGTTACATCTTAACAAGTCACCAAACCTACTTCCTTCCTAACTCACTGATGAAAGCAATTTGAAGTTGGTGACTTTGCCAGACATGACTTTAATTACACGAATATCAAATTTAGCTAATTGCAACAGCACTTCCACTACAGAATACTGTAATGTTAATGCTAACTATATGCTAAAAAGAACAGTAAGCATTCTATAATTTAAAATCCCTAGCTATGTTTGTTTGTACCTATTTCCTACTTGGTGAACAAGTACAGCAGGTCTAGGAAGATTTGCCAACACACATACCCTCACCCAGATAATATAAAAATAACATACGTACAAGTAATTTAATTTTATTTACGTATTTTGAAGCCTGGTCACAGACTGGGCCATGGGGGCGTTGATCCCCAAAACCCTCCCCAGGTATATTTTAAATTTAATTTAATTTAATGTAACATGAAAAGTCCAAAAATATGGAACTCCTACCAGAAGATTCTAAAATTTTCTTATCTACCAACTGTTTCAATTTTTTTTTAACCTACTGGTTGTCTCCCACCGAAGCAGGGTGACCCAAAAAAGAAACACTTTCACCATCACTCACACTATCACTGTCTTGCCAGAAATATGCAGATACGACAGTTTAGATGTCCCTCCACACAGCAAATATCACCACCACTCCTTTAGAGTGCGAGCATTGTGCTTCCCACCTCTAGGACTCAAGTCCAGCTAGCCAGACTGATTATATTGACCCCAGGCTGAGAGACTAATTACCTCAAACTCCTTCTGATCTTCACCAATTTTTTTAATGGACTGATGAAGCCACTGTGCAGTGAAATATTTTCACAGTAAAGTGGCCCGGTGGTCTGGTGGCTAAAGCTCCCGCTTCACACACGGAGGGCCCGGGTTCGATTCCCGGCGGGTGGAAATTCCGACACGTTTCCTTACACCTATTGTCCTGTTCACCTAGCAGCAAATAGGTACCTGGGTGTTAGTCGACTGGTGTGGGTCGCATCCTGGGGGACAAGATTAAGGACCCCAATGGAAATAAGTTAGACAGTCCTCGATGACGCACTGACTTTCTTGGGTTATCCTGGGTGGCTAACCCTCCGGGGTTAAAAATCCGAACGAAATCTTATCTTATCTTATCTTACCCAAGTGTTACAAAAGTCTATAACTCTTAACTCAGTCGTACTTTGCCAGTGACATAATAAGTTTATGTAGGCACAAGTACACGTAAGTACATTTATCATACAGTGTAAATTACATAAGGAAATGGAGCATCTTAATACTAATAGCTGACTGGCCCTGACACGGCACTCAGTCCAAAATAAATATTAAATATACTAAGAGTATTCAAAATATGTTCATATGCTAGAATCTTCATTACCGGTAATCACAAGCCAACCTGTAATCCTTAAAACAATTTAACTCGATAAAAGTGTTCACAGTAAGTCCTAAACTTTTTGTTACAACTACTTAAAGACCATATATACAAGCAATCAATTAATTCTTGCCTTATCAATCCTAAGACAGGCTTAAGTTTGCCCGGGCTCTGGTGGCTAAAGCTCTCGCTTCACACAGTGAGGGGCTGGGTTCGATTCCCAGCCAGGGTAGAAACACTGGGCGTGTTTCTTTACACCTTTTGTCTGTTCCCAATCAGTAAAATGGGTACCTGGGTGTCAGTGGACTGGTGTGGGTATCAATCCTGGGGCACTGACCTAATTTGCCAGACATGCTCAGCATAACAAGCGGCTTTCTATATAGTGATATAGTGATATATAGTGATATGACTTCATCATTGCTTAATTAATCTTAAGTTAATTTTAAGCCAGCCCGTAATGCTATGCATAGTATAAGTGGCTTTGGCATACTGCTCTTATCTGTATTTTTTTGTACCTCTGTATGTGTGCACAAATTTATAATAAATAAATAAATAAATAAATAAATGGTCTGTATACCTTGTATATGTACTGGAAGTAAATTATTATTATTTTTATAAATGCTCTGCATACAAAGGGGCTTCTGTATGCACGTCTAAATGCCACCCACATCTGTACAAACATTGTATGATGATAAATTATGAAGATTTAACCTAGGATAATCCAACAAACGTAAATATTTATATCCATTGTGACCCGGTACACATCCTGCCTCCTGCCCCAAGAGTAAAAGTATCACATTTTTGGCTTAAAAGGACAATGAGAGGGGTTTTACCTAAAAGAAAAAGTGGATCTGACAGAGGAACAAACAATTATAGCCACGCCAGTACCAGAAACTTGTAAATTACTTCAATAAAGACTTTTTTAAGGCTAGCTCCATCCCGCTCAAATTTTGTTTTCGACACCAGCTGATTAATATTTCCCATCCATCAGAGACATACTACTTAATACTGGAAAAATACACACACTGAGTTTATTACTGAACAAATATATATTTTACAAGTGGAATCATTGGAAATAATTAGGTGAAAGAAGCAATGTAAATTATTTACGATAGTTTTTCCACTGAAGCCTTTCCGTGGATAGGAATTAATCTACAACATTTACTCATAATATTCCAAAAAAAAAATCCACCAAATTTTTCTCGTAGTCTCTCATAAATACTTCCTTGATGTTGGTGAGGGGCTCTTGATTTAGGGAATTGGATCTGTGCTCCAGTTCCCCAAATTAAGCCTGAATGCCTTCCACATCCCCCCCCCCAGGCGCTGTATAATCCTCGGGTTTAGCGCTTCCCCCTTGATTGTAATAATAATAATAATAATCTCATAAATACTAATAATGCTTCTAGTAATAAAATATTAATAAAAATAACGAATTTTGATATTAGAACAAAGATAATGCTGTAATATGCAATTTATTATTTATTATTAAAGATTCGCCGGTATTCTCCCGGCCCGGGCCTTTTCCAAGTGGTGGCCCGGCCTTGGCTCCCTCTTTAGGGAGTGTCTGAGACCTAAGTCTCCCATGGGAGGAGGCACAAGTACCTCCTCATCTTCGGGACCAACTGTCCCCAGGCCTAGCCACAAGCTAGGCCTCTCTGGTCTGCCATCCCCGCCCCAAGGGGGCAAATGGGAATGACAGTCTTATGAGCTAAAGGCTCGGGCTCAGGCACCTACCCTACCCTAGAAGGGTTAGGCATGGTGTCGATCGTAATATGCAAATGGAGTGAGCGAAGCCAAGTGACGAATGTATTCTGTACTGTACACAGTACAGTAAAGAATGTATTAAAAAAATATCTAATAATCATTGATTTTTGTACATGAATGGTATACAGTACGGACAAGACTTAGAATTAGACACAAGTGCAACATTTGGGTATCTTTAAAGATACCCAAATGTTGCACATGTGTCTAATTTATCAACTTGTCGATTCCCTGAGCCATTATTTATTTATTTATTTATGTCTTTGCAAATAGTACATTGAGATTATGTATTTACAATAGTGGGTTGCAGTACAAAGAGAGCCTCTATTATGCTTAGGCATTATGGACCAACTTAATATTATTGGCTTTCAGTCTACTTAACACTAAGAATTATATCATAGTTGTACAGCAGAATATTAATTATATCATAGTTGTACAGCAGAATATTAATTATATCATAGTTGTACAGCAGAATATTAATTATATCATAGTTGTACAGCAGAATATTAATTATATCATAGTTGTACTGCAGAATATTAATTATATCATAGTTGTACTGCAGAATATTAATTATATCATGGTTGTACAGCAGAATATTAATTATATCATAGTTGTACTGCAGAATATTAATTATATCATAGTTGTACTGCAGAATATTAATTATATCATAGTTGTACATCAGAATATTAATTATATCATAGTTGTACTGCAGAATATTAATTATATCATAGTTGTACAGTAGATTATTAATTATATATGCACAGTTTAGGTCGCCGTATTACAGAATGGATGTGGGTGCTCTGGAAAATGTACAAAGAAGGATGGCAGGGTTGATCCCATGTGTCGGGGGCCTTCCCTGTGAGGATGGACTGGGGGCGCTGAGTCTGCGCTCTCTGGGGAGACGTGGAGTTGGGGGGGATGTGGTTGGGGTGTATAAATGGAAGACGGGAGTGGGTAAAGGGGATGTATGTGGTGTGCTGAAAATATCTAGCCTAGACAGGACTCGCAGCAATGGTTTTAAGTTGGAAAAATTCAGATTCAGGAAGGATATAGGAAAGTACTGGTTTGGTAATAGAGTTGTGGATGAGTGGAACAAACTCCCAAGTACAGTTATAGAGGCCAGAACGTTGTGTAGCTTTAAAAATAGGTTGGATAAATACATGAGTGGATATGGGTGGGTGTGAGTTGGACCTGATAGCTTGTGCTACCAGGACGGTTGCCGTGTTCCTCCCTTAAGTCAATGTGACCTGACCTGACTAGGTTGGGTGCATTGGCTTAAGCCGGTAGGAGACTTGGACCTGCCTCGCATGGGCCAGTAGGCCTGCCGCAGTGTTCCTTAGTTCTTATGTTCTTATATCATAGTTGTACAGTAGAATATTAATTATATCATAGTTGAACAGCAGAATATTAATTATATCATAGTTGTACAGTAGAATATTAATTATATCATAGTTGTACAGCAGAATATTAATTATATCATAGTTGTACAGTAGAATATTAATTATATCATAGTTGTACAGTAGATTATTAATTATATCATAGTTGTACAGTAGATTATTAATTATATCATAGTTGTACAGTAGAATATTAATTATATTGTGGAAAATACTGTATATATTTTCCGGAAATACGGTAATGTATAGGTAAACAGATGCCCTATATTGTATTTTTAAAAGAAGTATGATATCGAAAATGGGAAACCTGCGGCTGGGGGAGTGACTCGCCATCTTGGTTTTTAATTTTGTACAAACGTTGGTGTAATGGGAAGAATTATTCGTGCTCTAGAGGTTAAAATTGTGTTGACACCTCTCAAATAGGAGGCGAAATTGGTGGATGTGCATTCCTGCATAACTTGAGATATCAGGCGACTGGACAAGACCTCTACAGGAACCTCAGATAAGCTCTCTAGATTTGTGTGTAATTCTGGCCAGCATTATTTTCATAGATTTAGTTAGTGACGTTTTCTGAGTATGATAGACATTAATCTCCAGTCAAATTAGTGAGTGATATTAAGATATATTTTCCTTCTGTTATGTAATTGTGTATATATATAACCATTTATTATTTTTAATATACAGTCCACAAAATTTATATATTTACCAACATTTGGTGTTACCTGGAGTTTACCTGGAGGGGAGTTCCGGGGGTCAACGCCCCCGCGGCCCGGTCTGGACCAGGCCTCCTGGTGGATCGACCCTGATCAACCAGGCTGTTGCTGCTGGCTGCATGAAAACCAACGTACGAGCCACAGCCGGGCCTGATCAGGAACTGACTTTAGGTGCTTGCCCAGTGCCAGCTTGAAGACTGCCGGGGGTCTGTTGGTAATCCCCCTTATGTGTGCTGGGAGGCAGTTGAATAGTCTTGGGCCCCTGCACTTATTGTATGGTCTCTTAAAAGTGCTAGTGACACCTCTGCTTTTCATTGGGGGGATGGTGCATCGTCTGCCAAGTCTTTTGCTTTCGTAAGGGGGAGTGATTTTCGTGTGCAAGTTTGGTACTGTCCCTCTAGGATTTTCCCGGTGATTATAAACATGTATCTCTCCCTCCCGCATTCCAGGGGAATACAGGTTTAGGAACCTCAAGCGCTCCCCGTAATTGAGGTGTTTTATCTCCATTATGCGCGCCGTGAAAGTTCTCTGTACATTTTCTAGGTCGGCAATTTCACCTGCCTTGAAAGGTGCTGTTTTTTTTAAAAAAGTGTGCAGCAATATTCCAGCTAGATAGAACAGTGACTGAAGAGTTCATTCATGGGGCTTGGCCTCCTAGTTTTGAAGGTTCTCAGTATCCATCCTGTCATTTTTCTAGAGATGCATTGTTACAATGTTATGGTCCTTGAAGGTGGATCCTCCGACATTATCACTCCCAGGTCTTTGAGATGGTGTTTCGCTCTATTTTTGTGGCCAGAATTGTTTTGTTACACTGATGAAGATTTAATTTCCTTCATGTTTACATATTGAGTACTTGAAATTATTCATCGTGAACTTCATATTGTTTTCTGCAGCCCACTGAAAGATTTTGGTTGATGTCCGCCTGGAGCCTTGCAGTGTCTGCATACAGTGGAAGACACTGTCATGCAGATTCGGGTGTCATCTGCAAGGAAGACACGGTGCTGTGGCTGACATCTTGTTCTATTGTCGGATATGAGGATGAGAGGAACAAGATGGGAGCGAGTAGCTGTGCCTGTGGAACAGAGGCTTTCACCGTACTGCCTCTGACTTACTCTGTTGACGACTACTCACTGTAGTTCTTGTTCGTGGAGGAATTATAGATCCAATCGACCGACTTTTCCTGTTATTCCTTTTGCCCGCCATTTTGTGCCTATTACGCCATGGTCACACTTGTCAAAGGCTTTTTGCAAAGTTCTGTATATATTACATCTGCATTCTTTTTGTCTTCTAGTTGCATTTTGGACCTTGGCATGTATATTTTCGTTTTAATAATAGGTCCAGTGCAACTTGTGGATATGACAGTGGAGTATCGAAGGGGGACATTTTTTGCGACCTAGGGGTCCCAAATTCTACTTGTCTTAATGATAAATAATAATTTTCTTTGTTCATTACTGTTATGTTATATAATGATACATTCAGTTAACATGCAATTTTCCACTTTAATTTGCCCCCTTTGGTCCTTCTTTGAACCGGAGGTAATTAGTGAAGTCATTAATTAGTTAAATTACTAAATAATTATGTGAAATGACAGAAGGAGGTGGATGTTAAGTTCGCATATGTTACTTATTGTGTAGTGGATTATAATAATTACAATATTAATTTTGATAAGCTAAGCTCAATTTGATTAGGGTCAATTCTGGCCAAGATTTATATCAGTGTATGTGTTAATTGATAAGACAAGTGTGGATAAAGGTTATATTGTGTATAATATTAATTTTGCTATGCCAATATTCTGGCAAGGATTTATATTGTTTAATATTAATTTGATAAGCCCAATTTTGGCCAGATTTATTTCGTGTATGTGTTAATGAAAGCCATGTTGTAGCTAATTTTTAATGTGTATATAAAATTTAGCTATGCCAAATTCTGGCAAGGATTATATTAATTGTGTAATATGTTAATTTTGATTAAGGCAAGAAGTTTGACTAAGGTTTGTATAAGGCACATTAAAATTATATTATAATTACTTGCATGTTGTAAATTGCTAAGCTTAAGTAGCTGGGATTTTTCAAAGGTAAGTTGTTCGTACTATTTACCTTTATAAAGTGCATAATTTTGTACAAATTAATCTCAGTCTTAAAATAATGAATCCTGTGATACTCCATACTGAAATTATTATACGGTGCCAAAACAAAGATTCATCATTGCTAACTCATACAACTAGTATTTAGTCACTTAGCCATAAAACAACTTACCACATAATTTTGTAATATTTGAATATTTTTTACAAGTAAAGATAAAACTAAGTTTGCCCGAAATGGCCTAGCCATGCTAAGCGTTCTAGTTGGTAACACTCTGGTAATCACAATTTTACTACATTGTAAACAAACAATAACCAAATTTCTGTAAATCAGCTTGTAATCATTTAGAGAATAAA